GGGAGGGAGGGCAGGTCTCGGCGCCCTTGGACGCCTCCAAGTGCGACGGACGGGGCTTGCGAGGGCAGCCCGCAGCCCTCGTGCCTTGTACGTGTATGTGGTGTGGTGTACGTGATGTAGTGTGATGTGGGGTGGGGTGGGGTGGGGTGGGGTGGGGTGCTAAAAAGGGGGAGGACTGTCCAAAAAGCGCCGGGAATACGAAGTCCCCACTGGGAAAGGCCGTACATACAGCCGTACATACACCCACCTGTGCGCACGACCTCCTAGGCCGCCGCCGCCCCTCGTCGCCACAGCCGCCGCCGCCGCCTCCAGCTGCGCCACGGACTCGATGAGGGAGTCCCAAACCCCCGAACCCACCCGGCTCCGACCCCCCTGCGGCTGCTGCTGCTGCTGCTGCCGGCGCTCCCCGCCCGTCTGTGCAAAGCGTGTCCAGAACTGCCTCTGCACTCGCAGCTGCCCCCGCTGCTGTTGGTGGTGGCGGAGGTGGCGGCGAAGGGATCCCGTTGCTGTCCGGCTGCCGTCCGAACCACTTTGTACGACGGCCATCGATGGTAAGGAATCGGCGGCGGCGGCGCCCTGTTGCTGTTGCTGCTGCTGCAGTGGCGGCGGAGGTGGCGGTGGCAGTGGCAGCGGCGGATCCGCAGATCGGTGTAAAGCCGCAGCAGTCCCCTCCGCCGCCGCCGCCGCCGCCGCCAGTTCCCCACCAGCTCTCGTGCCTGGTGCGGCGGCGGCGGCAGCGGCGGCGGCGGCGGATGCAGCTGGCGGCGATGTTGGGGGTTTTGTGAGTGGTAAGACATTCCGGTAGTCGACATCGCCACCCGGGGACATCGACATCGGGCAGGGCTCGGACTGCGCTGCGAAGCGGGTTGAGGACAGCCGCGACCGCCGCGTCCGGGCGCCCTCCTCCCCGCCGATACCATTTGGTAGTCGTGCTGTTGCGGCTACAGCCGTCGCTGCTGTGGCTGCTGCTGGTGCTGTGGCGGCGCCAGGGTGTGCGGGGTCGGCGACGGCGGCGGCGACGGGGGAGGAGGAAGGAGCTCCGCCACCGCCGTTGCCGCTGTCCTTCTCCGCCGCCGCAGCTTTCCCGCCACCTCCCTCCTCCGCCTCGTCTGTCGGCGGCGGCGCACCGGGGTGCTGCGAGGGCGGCTGACGAGGGAAAGTGTGCAGCTGGCGGCTGGCAGCGCCGCCGCCGCCGCCGGCCCCGTCAACGGGCCCCGCAGACCGCACCCTCCGTCGCTTCACGGGCTGCCTTTCGCCCTCCCCAGCCCCCCCACTGCCGCCATCACCACCACCGTTTATAGTGCCGCTACTGCTACTACTGCCACCGCCGCCGCCGCCGCTGCTCCCATACTGCTGAATGCCTTGCTCATCGGCTTGTCCAGGCCGCCCTCCTCCACCTGGCACCTCCGCGACCAGCGGCACCGCTGGTATGTCCGGGCCCTCGGCGCCCCCCCTCCTCCTCCCCCACATGGAC